GGGGTTTCACCATGTTGACCAGGATGGTCTCGATCTCTTGACCTCGTGATCCACCCGCCTCGGCCTCCCAAAGTGTTGGGATTACAGGCGTGAGCCACCGCGCTCGGCCCAATTACTCTTATGGCAATCCAACCTGGGACTACTATTATTACCTCAATTTGAAGACAAGATAACTGGGGAAGGGTTGACTTCATGGGCATATAGCATATACAGTCACATGGGCCCCATGCTCAGAAGACCCCATGCTTGGTTTAAAGTCCTGCTGTAACCACCTTGAAATTCTTAATACTTTTATCTTTGAACTTGTGTTTTGCAAGGAAAGGCTGATGGGACAATGGAGCGTGCACGTGAGTGGAAGAAACAGGAGCAACATGCACGTCTGCATTTCCTTGCCTCCCCATGCATTTATGGCATTGGCCATATCCATTATCACATAACTCCAAAGGAACCATCATGTGTGGGGGTTCAGCAAGACTCAAAGGTAGAAAGAGGTGAGTATGTCACATTTACCATTCAGTAAAGGGGTAAGGAGGGGGACACCCAGACCTGTGAGAGGCTGTACTTCCCATTCGAAACAGACCTTGCTTTAGATGCAGAAAGCAAGCAAGGGCATTTTAAGAAATAGGAATGACCAAGAAACCCTATCATATCCTTTCTTACTCATGGATTAGCCAACCTCTTATGCTGAAAATGATAAAGGAGAAAAGAAAAAGATAGGGAAACCCATACTTCCTTTTCAATTCTTCCTCATTCAGAAATAAGCCGAAGGAAGAGTGTTGGTAGAACATGCACATATCAAGAGGTGAAATAATCGCTGAATTAGTGTTGTGCAGCATTTCCACTATTCTGGTTGGAACAAAATACATATGCATATATGTAGAAAGTGCAAAATACAAACTTTGCAATTTCAGCAATTTCGCTTACAAGTTAAAGGCTCTTACAATTGCATTTAAATCTGGGATTGCACAATATAAAGATGCAAAGTACGCTTCATGCTAATAATTTTAAATTTAAATTTTTCTTTACTAAGACATCAAATCACATTGTGATAAAAGGAGAAACCACAAAAAGGAAAAAGCTTTATATTTTAGTATCTTTAAGATCAATTTTTTCACGTTCTTGAACTAGGGGCCCTGAGTTTTATTTTGTTCTTGGCCCTGCAAATTATGTAACTATAGTAAGCAAGTCTACAAACTACTCTCAATAAATCTCAGAAATTCACTTTAGAAAACAAACCCCCTAGTTTTCCTAAATTGTTCTCACTCTAGCAGAGTCTCTTAGAGCTAACCTTTTAGATTCTTTCTTGATACGGATTAATTATGCCTAATGCCTGCATGTTTTTGTTTTTTTTTTTTTTAAAAAAGACTTGAAACACTAGAGAAATAACATATACAGAAGCCTAAGAGAGTGCCATGATCCAAGACGTGGTTATATGAGCAATTTAAAAATTCCTTTTGTTATGACTGCAGTCATTTTGCATAAAACACAGGCTGTTACAGCCAATTACAAATTGGAACAGATGCCATTACCTGAGTGCACATGTTGGCTCCTACTGCTCATTAAATATTTCCAACATACATGTGTTTTTGGAGTCTTTGTGCTCTACTGGGGACACAGGTATGGAAAAATAAAACTAAAGAATAGGATTTCTGTTTCTGTTCTGTACAAAAAAATCCTTTGCGGATTTATAGTAGCCTGGAATATATACATGGTAGAGTGAAATTCTGCCGATATGCGTTACTTCATTTAGAAAGATATAGAATTAAAGTGTCAATTTAGGAGAAGTTGTATAGAATGCAGTTACCTTAACAAAGTTTCCGTTCCTAATAGTTAACTCTATACAATGTTGCAGACTAATTAAATCTGATTTGCTTAATATTTTGAATGTCCCATGGCAGAAGATAGGCACAGTTTACTGCTTAAAGAAATCTACTGTTCGGTGGCTCACACCTGTAATCCCAGCACTTTGGGAGGCCAAGGTGGGTGGATCATGAGGTAAAGAAAATGAGACCATCCTGGTCAACATGGTGAAACTCCGTCTCTACTAAAATAAAAAAAATTAGCTGGGCGTGGTGGCGCACACCTGTAAACCCAGCTACTTGGGAGGCTGAGGCAGGAGGATTGCTTAAACCTGGGAGACGGAGATTGCAGTGAGCTGAGATACTGCCACTGCACTCCAGACTGGTGCCTGACGACAGAGTTTCACTCTGTCTCAAAAAAGAAAAGAAAAAAATCTGTTGAAATATTTTGTTAAGTACTAATTTTTTAGTAATACTCTTATTATTGCAGTTTGATAAATCCCAATTTTCACATTTGGGTCTGCCTGCATTAGAGGACGCCTGCATTGCAAGCCTTCCTGCTTCAGAATGTCATCACAGGGAAGCCAAGTTCTGCCATGCAAAGTTTTTGCCATTAAAGTGTCTACAAAAGAAACACGAAATAAACCAAGATAATCCTAAAAGAAATTAGGTAAGGAGGTCTGATAAAGGCCCTTGTCATGTTTAAGTTTTTTTTGTTGTTGTTGTTGTTAAACAAAATTTCTGGACATAAGAGCACAGACTCTGGAAACATTACATCCTATGCAGCTACATACAAACTGGTACAAGTAAAAGTACTTAACCTCTGTGTGCCTCAGTTTCCTGCAAAGTAGGAAAAATCATGCCTAGTCTCAAAAGCTTCTTAAAGATAATTAAAGCTGTAACAAAAGGTGAGCATGGTGGTTCAGGCTGTAATTACAGCACTTGGGGAGACCGAAGTGGGCAGATCGCTTGAGCTCAGGAGTTCGAGACTAGGCTGGGCAACATGGTAAAACCCCATCTCTACAAAAAATACACAAATTATCCATGCATTATAGTGGGGACCTGTAGTCCCAGGCTGAGGAGGCTGAGGTGGGAGGATTGCTTGAGCACGGGAGGCAGAGATTGCACTGAGCTGAGATTGCACCCCTGCACTTTAGCCTGGGTGACAATGAGACCTTGTCTTAGGAAACAAACAAACAAACAAAAAAAAAAACTTTAACAATGCCTAATACAAAAAATAT